GGGCCTAGTCTGTTATCTTTACATCTTCCCTTTTCTTGTCATTTGGTATGTGCGAGATACTGATTAAAAACCGCACTTTGCAAAATGGCCTTTTTCGGTTTTCAATTTTGTCCAGTTACTGAGAAACCTTAAATCTCCTTTGCTATAGCCCTTTGCTTTAGGCCCTTTGGGTCTAACATTTTATTTTCTTCAGTCTCTTTATGCCCTAAAATGTATCACCACCGCATATGGTCACGGAATTTCTTTTATATCTGAAGTGTAGCGTTATAATTGGTTGATATTTTAAGTTCTGGAACGCTTATCAACGTGTTATTGTTCTCCAATATTTTGCTTCAAGCACTTACAATTAAGCAACTTTGGAGATCCTGAATAGCAGAAAAGTTTATAGATTATTCTGTAAAAGAAAAAAATAATCCCTCTCTTAGATACAAGGGCTGCAGGCCTTTCTCCCGTCTCAAGTATTTATGCTCTTATTTGTTACGGTCTTTCTCGCTGCTCCTCAAGACGCAATGGATCCCAGAGTTGTAAAGCTCTTAGAGGGAAAAACTGATCAAAGGAAATTTCTAGCCATAGCATTCTCTTTTGGGTGCCTTTTAACAAGGCCTACACTACACTCAAACTGTGACGGGCCAATGAAAGGTAAGACATGACATATACTACAGCTACTATTCCGTTCTTGGTTGCATTTTCAATGTTTGCATGTGCTCTTTCTTCTATGTGAATGAATTCGAACTAAATGCTAAATGTAATTCATCCTTCAATTCGTCCACAGATGAACTCAGGCTGAAGAAAAAGTCGCACAGCGAACCGAAATATTCCTTCGAAGAATTGAGCGACAAAGAAGGAAACTTTGGTAATTTATTTCGATTGGTATTTGTAGTGTTATGTTGCTCGTTTATTTCTTCTAAGATCTATCAGAAGGCGATTCAAATGAGGCTACGGCGTCTCAGACCCTTTCAATAACCCTTTCAATACAAGTCGAGAAAATTGCCATACGCGCCACAATAGTTATACTAATTTTATTAAAGTTAGTTCCATGTAGATCATAATATCTCGTTCCATGTCATGTCTTCTTTACGCTACACCTCCGTTAACAATATTTTGAATATGTTAGTGAAATCTCGATTTAACGAAGTCCCAAACGAATTTAAGCAAAGTTAATTTAACGAAGTTAGCCAGGAAAAAGTTGGACAACAAACTGAAATGTTCCTTCGCAGAGTCGAGCGACGTAGAAGAAAACTGGGGTAATTTATTTCCATTGCTATTTGTAGTTTTATGTTGCTCGTTTAACTTCTTCTAATCAGAAGGTGAAGTACTAGTAAATTCAAATGCGTATGAGGATAATTTTAGAGCATGGCTTCTCAAACATTTCCCAGACCCCTCTAAATATAAAATCGTTTTGAGACATCCTCGGAGAAATTTCTATATTCGCCAGAAGCGAGGTATGAAAAATAATTATAGCTTTTTTAAAATTACCTTCACTGAATCTTATCTACTTGAATAGCCTTCCAAATTTCTCCGGCTGGCAAGAGGTTCCGCCTGAACAGTTCTTTTCTTATCTGAACTAAATTGCATTCTGGAATTTGGACTTTCCACGTCCTTATTTTTTAATACCTAGAAATTATAACCTCGTTTCCTGTCTATCTTTACAGCTTTGGAAAAAGGCTTCAAAACGGCTGGACGCTAACTTTATTTCCAGGGCCTTCTCCTAGACGATTTTCAAAAAGCTTTCGGAGAACGATGACGCCACGACAATCATTTGATTCCCTGCCCAAGACTTCCTCGAAAACAAAACCAAAATGACGGCTGATCGATTGTTGTGTTTCCAATTTTTTCGGTTTAGTGTGAACGGAAAACAATTGATGCGTTTTCGGAGTGAAAAGGCCGTTTTCAAATTTCTCCGGCGTAGTGTGGAAGCGGCCTTATTTATATAAATACTTCCCTTTGTGATTATTTTCTCTCACTTGTTGGGGCTCGGCGTCCCTTCTTGTAAGATTCAATGCTAATTTGATTTTATCCTTCGTCCACAGATAAATTTACTGCGGGGAAAAAGTTGGACAGCAAACCGAAATACTCCTTCGCAGAATCGAGGGACGAAGAAGAAAACTGGGGTAATTTATTTCGATTGCTATTTGTAGTGTTACATTACTCATTCAACTTCTTCTAAGATCGATCAGAAGGTGAAGAAATCTCAAATACATGAGGCCACTTTTAGAGCACGGCTTCTCAAACACTTTCAAGACTCCTATCAATATACCGTAGAATTTCGAAAGTAACGGCCCCCCGCCCCCCGGAAATGACGGCTCCCCGAAAGTAACGTTAATTTTTCACCTCCCTATTGAGTCCCGAAAGTAACGGTCCCCCTGAAAGTAGCGGCCCACCCGAAAGTAGCGGCCCTATGAAGAAGTCACTAAAAGAGAAAGTCTTTGTTCTCAAGCGCGGGTCATGCGGATGGAACAGCCTGACTGCAGGACCGAACATTGACTTTCAGAGTTATCTGTGGTTTTATTTCGAACTTGACTGAATTTTTCTTGAAACTATGATTTATAAGCTGTATTTGTCTGGGAACAGAGTCAAATGATAAACTGTAGGGTGATCAGTTGTATTGTGATATAATGCGACCATTATACTTTCGCCCTTCAGTGCCAACCGTGGTTTAAGGCCTTTTTATGTTTATACAGTCTGCTTTGTTTATGTGGGTAGTTGAAAACATACATAAATGGAACGTTTAATTTCTTGTCATAGTAAATGGTTTGAACCCAGGAATATCAGTGGTTCGTATAGTGTGATCGTCTGTCCGTGTAACGTTTGTCATCAGTCATTGGTCGATCCGTCTTTGTAAGTCAAATTGGTCGGTTGTTGGTCTGTCTAGTCAACTTAAGTCGGTCTGTTAGAAGTCCGTTTGTCGGTTTCGTTTCCGTCGTGAATAAGTCGTTTGTAAGGCGCCGGTAGTTGCACGGAGCCCTGTTACCGCCATACACGCCCGCGTACAACATCATATTTGGGATGCATCCTTTTTTCATTCTGGTAAACACTTTCTTTTTTTTTGCTGGCGCAACTTTTTTTTTCTGGCGCGACTTTTTTTTTCTGGCGCGACTTTTTTTTTTTCTGGCGCGACTTTTTTTTCGTTGGCGCGACTTTTTTTTTCTGGCGCGACTATTTTCTTTTCTGGCGAGACTTTTTCTTACTGGCGCGACTTTTTCTTTTTTCTGGCGCGACCTTTTTCCTGGCGCGACTTTTTTTTTCTGGCGCGACTTTTTCTTACTGGCGCGACTTTTTCTTTTTTCTGGCGCGACTTTTTTTTTCGCTGGCGCGACTTTTTTCCTGGCGCGACTTTTTTTTTCTGGGG